CCTCCCTCATGAACCCTTGATCATTTATAAATTATTATTTTGTCATATCTTACACCATCCGACGTCTCCCTTCACCTTCTTCTCCGCTGTCCATCCCCCACGGAGGAGGTTATATGTAGATCTTTGCAATTGGTTCTTTCTCCCTCACCTTCCCTCCACCCTCCCGGTATCGCCACTCTCCCCACTGGTCCTGAGGGGATCATCTGTCCTGGATTCCCTGTGTTTCCAGGTCCTGTCTGGACCAGTGTATACATGATGTACTTTTCTAAGGAGCCGTTTTCTAATCAGGTTTATAAGTAAAAATGGAAAAGGGCCCTAGTGCAATGAATGCATGTCTTGTACTAAAACAGAACCCCCCTGACATTTATAGTTTCATAAGGCTCTCAATTAATAAAGGTAATTTAGGGGGTGGGGTGGGGGGAAGGACAAACAGCAATGCTGAGATATGGTTACTAAGCATATGACTTCTCCCTCAAGTGACCGATGTGCACTAATTGAGTTTCGGACCGGGCAGTGAGCCTGCCTTACCAGCGGGCTCTCCTCCTTCCCTAGCAAATTGCCCCACTCTCATCTGAGTGGCCACCCTGGCAGCATAAAACCCTTAAACTGTGCAGGAAACTCAAGATACCCAGGGCCCGTGGGCAAGAAACGTGACACAGATTCAAGTTAACCAGCAGAATCTAGTTCTGGGCCCAGTCACCGCTTCATCATGGGTGGGCGCATGACCTACACCGGCCAATGAGGGTGGCCTTCAGAACCTTAGCTTCGAAGGGTGGGGGCACAGTGCTAGTACCAGACACCCTAAGTCAGCGGTTCTCAACCCGCTTCATGACCCGCTTGGGGGTCACAGGACCCTTTCAGAGGGGTTACCCGATTCCTAACAGTAGCAAAATTACAGTTATGAAGTAGCAAGGAAAATCAGTTCATGTCTGGGGGTCCCCACCACATGAGGAACTATAGTAAAGGGTCGTGGCATTAGGAAGGTTGAGAACCACTGCCGTTAGTAGTACGCAGCTTTGATGGAAAAGAGGAAGGTCTTCCACAAGACGGATTAACACAGTGGCTACAGTGACGGGCTCAAACATAAGAACAACTGAGGAAGGCGCAGGACTGGGCGGTGGTGCGTTCCCTGCACACAGGGTTCTGTGAGTTAGAACCAACTTGGTGGTAACAAGACATCCTCCCACGCACCTCTGACCTCGGACAAAAAGAATGCCTATCAGCGACGACGTTTTGACCTTTGGATTTGCCACAGTTGATGTCCTTTTTTATGGACTGTCCCAGGGGGACTCCCTAGTCAGCCGTTCTTGCTGAAGCTCCCGTGAGTGGGGTTTCACCAACGCTGTTCAAGACACTTCCATGTGCTGGTCATCTGTTTCTCTGTCGTGAAGTATCTGTTCAAAATTTTTGGTCGTTTCTTTTTTGGGCTGTTTATTTTCATATTGGGTCTTCGGTGTTTCTTTCCATATGTTAGATAAAATTTCTTTATCATACATATGCTTCGCAATGTTTTTCTCCCAATCTGAAGATGGTCTGTGGATTTGAATGCTGACTTTGGGAGGTTTAAATTTTGATGAAGTCCAATTTATTAATCTTTACTTCATGGATTGAATTTTATGTAGGAGGAGGCTTCAAAAAAAAGTGTGGAAAAATAGAATTAAAAGAATTGATTTTTATTTTTTTTAAAAAAAGAATGGATTTCCCCCCCTACAGATCTTTTGAAGTCCTGTTGTATGATAGCTAGCTCATCTTTATCCTACCCAAATTTACAAGGACTTTCTCTTGTGTTTTCTTCTAGGGACCTATGGTCTTACATGTGTCTACACTCCATCTTCAGTTTCTTCTGAGTCTGGTGTGAAGAATGGGGTCTAGGTGTTAGCTCTCTTTTTGCATATGGATGTCTCATTGTTGCAACACCATCTGACAAAGATGCTCTTTTCTCCATTGCTTGTGGACCTCTCTACAAAAATCGGATGGCAGTTTGTGTGGGTTTATTGATAGTCTTTCTCTTCTGTTCCATTGATCTGTGTGCCTGTCCAAACACCAGACCACACGGTCCTGCCGATCACTGGAGCTCTACTTAATGGTTTTCCTACAGTGGCGATTGATGTCCGGGGCAGGGCAAGTCTTTGTTCTGTGCGGTCGTCCTGTCCACTGTAGAATGTTGAACAGTGTCTCTGGCTCTAGACATTAGATGCCAGGAACAACCCCTTCTTCATCCAGGTAATGACAATCGAAACTATTTCCAAACATTGCCAAATGCCCCCTCGGGCAGAGAGGAGCCAGATCGCTTTAGAAGAAATACTGCAGGGGAGTGTCCTGAGTTCTTTGCCTCTTCTGCTCCCGTTGTTATTCTTAATGTGAATTTTTAGAATCAGTTTGTTAACTTCTACAAAAATTCTAGGTGAAATTTCCACTGGGAGTGCTCTGTATCTACAAATCGATTCAGGAAGAATTGACCTGTTAACAATATTAAGTATCTCAATCCATGTATAGAAGTCTGGTTTACTTTCTTTCATCCGTTTTTCAGAACATAGATTTATACAAGTTTATACGTAAATATTGCACATTTTTATACGACTGTAAATAGTAGTTTTAAAGTTTCCATTTTGTCTTTAAGAAAGGAGCTTTGTTTGAGGATGGCCAAAGGCAACGTCACACTCACTCACTCACTCACT